TAAAAGGAAACCACGGTGCCCTGTACTTACCAATTCCAGTGTATTACACACTTTAGAAAAGGTAATCTCTAGGTATACTAAATACAGTGAGGGAGCAATAGCTGACTCACCTCAAATACAAAGTCAAAGACAATGTATCTCGGCTGGAGACTGTATCATTCACCGGCGAAGATACCATGTACCGGCGCTCAATAGCCCTTAAATAGCCAGAGCTTCAAAGAAACTATAAATTCAAAGGAAAGCGGCTTTCTTACACAGAGACCTGTAAAAGCAGTAAACGACACTCGCGTAACGAAGAACTAAAATTTCAAGACCGCACAAACTGCAATGAATTAAGATGCCTTGCAAAATGCAAGGAGCGTCAACTCTCGGTCCGAGGAATGGTCTTCTCGAAAAGTGGTCTCGGCCGCTTCCATACACAGGACTTACACAAAATTAAACTGCATCAAAAGGACTCTTTCTCATTGACATCAAAAACAAAAAGGAAGGAGACACCGGCAAATGTATGTACAAAACTTGCACTACAAATGCAAACTTATGAAATGACTTAATCATCAACCATAAATGGTTGTCCATTAGGGGTCACTTCAAAAGAGCGGCTGTGGTAGTTATCATCAGTTCTGAAGAACTGTCCATACCTACCTGCAGATAATAACCGTTTAGTAAACTGTATTTATCTGCATGCTAAAGCGTATAAACCTGGAATGCAGGAGTATCTTCTTTGATAAAAAGTTTCTCCTTGTTGCAAACCAGAATTCATAAAAACTTCAGCCTGGCAACTTAAAGTCAAGCCTGGAAGCAAAGTATCAACTGTGATCAGAAGTATCTTCACCACCTAGCTATCATTAAAAGTTAGCCTCCGCTCTGAGTTTTATGCCGCTGCAGTCGATGGAGCTGCTTGATCAGAAGTTGGCGGCCTTCCTTTCCTTTTATTCTCTTTCTGTCTCTCCTTCCTCCGCAAGTTAGCATCTCGAAGAGTCTCGCCCGAGCGATAAAGTCATCTGTCTCCAGATGAAAAGGAAGCTGGTCTGAGTGAAATAAACATTGGACCATGACTGTCATCGTCAGAGGGTCTGGAGCACATAACCTCCGTGTCAATCAAAGCAAAGTTCTCTGAAAAATTACAGACGAACTCCTTCGTGCTCACTGTGGAATTTGAATATTCCTCTCCACTCGTTGAATGACCCCATTCAACAATGGTAGACAAACATGTATCGCCAAGCTTTGATCCCTGGTACACTTCTTTCTCTTCTGTAGAGTATTCTTCCCAGAGTTTCTCAAAGTAATCTTCACACTGCTTGAGGACATGTGAAGATGAACTGTAAAATGTTCTGGGAATAGGTGCTTTGATACCAGGATCTGCTTTTACACGGGCTTCTGAAAACCTGCGGATCCAATGCTGCATGGTGCTGTAATAATAGTTAGCCATTGGTTGCCTTTTGTACCCAGACATTCTGTAGGCCAAACTATTTGCATCACCAGAAATGATGTCCACCTCATATACAAAACATTCATAAAGCATCAATGCTGTCTGTTCTCCTGTCAATAGGTGGGCATCTACAGCACGGTGTGTGTCAACATGATAATTACAGACTCTGATAGTATGCATGTTCGCTCGAGTAAGTGGAACACGCCGGTCTGTAGGACCATAGTCCTCAAATTCATAGTCTGCATCCTTGAAGTCCTGACGAGGCCTTGTTTCTCCAAAACAAATCTCATAGATAGCCCAAGTTACATCACGCTGTTGACAGTGACCAAGGTCTTGGTCATGTCCAGCAATGATCTTGATATAGCCATCTGGTGCCAATCTAGCCATCACTGCAAGATTCTCCCAATCATTGAAACAAACTGTCCAATTCTTTTGCTCAATAAATTCCTTGGCAGGAACAAGGAGATGAGCTTCCTGGAGAATCACGACATGTGCACGTAAAAAGAAGAGCATGTTGAAGAAAAGGTTGTTTTCAAATTGCTCATATTGAAGTGACATGGCACTCTGCTTGCGTGGCTTCATTGCGCGATCAAGTCCTTGGAGAAACTTTGGTGTGGTGTATTTCTGACCACGAACCATGTTTCCATAGTTCCAGGATAAAAATGTCAAGGACTCTGAGCTGGCCAATAAGTTAGTTTCATATTGTTCTTCTATTCTTCCTTTGAGGAATCTTTTGCACAGCTCTTCATAGAAGGTGACAAAGTCCCAACTAGGTCCCTTAGGACCATATTCTTCCAGTTCTTCTCTAAGTTGATTCTTTGTATCCTCCAAATCTGCTCGAGCTTGTTCTGCCCTTTCAAGGGTCTTTGGATCGACCTGATACTTGTCATCCAAATAAACGATGCGGTCATCATTGATGAAAAATCTCTTCAAATCATGCTCTGAGCTGTCCTCGTAACAATCAGGTGGAGGTACTGGACAGACCTTTCGAATGGATCGAACAAAGTCGTTCTCATTGATCCTTGACTGATAGTGAGGATGGGAAAGCTCACCTTTTCTGAAACAAACATGGTTCAACAATCTCGCGTGAGTTTCCCTGAAGCATTGTTGGTAAAAGCCAATACCTGGTTCTCCTGTAAGCTCTCCAAACAACCTCAAAGGTGAGGTATGCAACTCATAGGTATTGTCAGCATCCACAGGATCCTTATCAGCAACTACTTCAGATGGAAAAGATTCTTGGATTTCAGCCTCCAATTTCTTCTCTCCATCATCCTCTCTGACCTCTCTTATCTTCTCCACCGCCTTCTTCTTCTCCTCAAGAGTTGCATCATCCTGAACTTCTTCATGAAAATGAGGATCAGGAATTTTATTCAGGCGGCTTCTCTTAGATTTCGGCAGACTTGGAGTATCATCAAGGTTAGCATCCTTCTCACCTGATGGTAAGTGCGACGCAGCTGAGTCCTCACCTATCTCTCTTGACAGAAAGTGTGGCGCTGACTCATCCTTGGCTTCCTCCTGGTCCACCTCCATCTTTAGTTCCTCTGAAGGAAAAGCACCTGCATTCTCATCAAAAACTTCTTCATCTTTCTCGATTTCCATTGCAGGATCTTCTTCAGGGACTTCCTCTTCCATATCTTCATCTTCCACAAGCACCATACTACCAGTATAGATTCCACCAGTGATAGTGGAGACTCTTGTGTATGGAGGAACTTCTTCACCTGCCTCAAAAGCTTGTTCTGCAACATCCTTGGTGAGCAAGTCTTCTATAAAATCTTCCTCCTTGGTTCTTGGAAGAGAATCTGAGGTCTCATAAAAATCTGTCCTTCCTGAACTGAAAAACTCAGTTGCCTTCTCATTGTCCTTTTTATCCTTGTAAAGATGAGTAATCTTCACTGCTTCTCCCCGCAAAACCTGATCACCTTCTCTATACTTGTTGACAATGGAGCTCCATACTGGCACGTTGTCATCATCAAAATCAAGCTCCATATCATCTGCCAGCAAGTTTGAGATGTTTTGAGCTGCCTGTTCTTCTTCTTCCTCACGTTCTCTGGCACGCTCCTCATTCTTCTGGATCTTGTAGACACCCTTCAGGATGTTTTGTAGTACCTTTAAGTTCAGCTTCGATGATGGCTCAAACGTCCCTGAACTTACAGGCTCAACTACA